TAAAACTGAGACTGCAGATACCTCAACTCTACAATGGGAGTAGTAAATATTCCCTGCTTTATGAGTCTGGTCAGTGAATTAAACGAGATAATGCATGTAATGTTTCTATTGTGATTCTTGTGACATACAGCAGACACTTGACAAATGTGAGCTTCTGTTCTCAGTATCACAAAAACTTTGTCATGTATGGTTATCATTTATCAATATTCCATTCAAAATGGGTCATCCATCAAAGTGGAATTTTGATCATTTAAAACATTTTTTAAAGTTTATTTACTTATTTAAGAGAGAGAGAGTGCACGCATGGGAGAGAGAATCCCAAGCAGGCTCTGTGCTGTCAGTACAGAGCCTGATGGGGGCCAGAACTCATGAACCATGAGATCATGACCTGAGTTGAAACCAAGAGTCAGAGGGCGCCTGGGTGGCTCAGTCAATTAACCATCCGACTTTGGCTCAGGTCATGATCTTGCAGTCTGTGAGTTCAAGCCCTGTGTCAGGCTCTGTACTGACAGCTCAGAGCCTGGAGCCTGCTTCAGATCCTGTGTCTCCCTCTCTCTCTGCCCCACCCTCTCCCACTCTCTCCCTCTCCCTCCCTCCCTTCCTCTCTCTCTCTAATAAATATTTTAAAATAAAAAATAAAAATAAACCAAGAGTTGGATGCTTAACTGACTGAGCCATCCGGGTGTACCCAAACTCTGATCATGATAAGCACAACAGGCCTAGTAGCTCTGCTGACCACCATGTAGCACTTCTAGTTAATGAAGACTCTATACCTCCCTCTTTCAGGTACCATCTGCCAGGTGGATTCTACCACAAGGGAGGCAAAAGCATATGGACTATATGACTAAGGGAGAAAAATCACAAAACCATTAAAATCAAATACAAGGCATGTGTGAGACTGTGTGCTCCTGTGTACATGCTCACAAGTGGGATTCACTGTATTAAAATCAGAGTAGTCAACTGCCAAAAAATGATTGATTGATCTGACTGAAAACATACTAAAAGCTTCTATAAATTAAATCATCCTAAAAATTGAAAATATATGTTTATTTCCTCTATGATAGAAAAAATTTCAATATTATTAGTGTCTAAAGAATGCTAATTAGTTAAAAGGAAAACAGAGGACCTGAGGGGCTCAGTCAGTTGAGAGTCTGACTTCAGCTCAGGTCATGATTTCCCACTTTGTGGGCATAGCAGGCTCTGTCCTGACACCTCAGAGCCTGCAGCCTGCTTCAGATTCTGTGTCTCCCTCTCTCTCTGTCCTTCCCCTGCTTATGCCCTGTCTCTCACTCTTTCCAGAAGATACATCAACATTAAAACTTTTTTAATTACAAATTTTAATTAAAAGGAAAACAGCATCATTGAGGACCATTTACCCTAGGAGATATGTAGGAAAGACTTCTCTGAAATATGAATATCTGAGCTACAAGAGGAAGGATGGGTAAATGTTAAAAGGGAAATTAGGTAAGGGCACACATTTTGGGTGGAAAGAATAGAATTTGCACTTTCCCCATGGTTGGGTGAGCTTGGTAATGGAAGGGATTTGAGAAGCCAGTAAGATGGAGAGCAGACAATGAGGGTCAGGAGGGATGGAGTGTGTGAGGAGCACATGTGGAGTACTGTACTATTCCTTAATGTGGCCATCACGTTAATAATTATATATATTTTTTACTGGGTCAGAAATTTAGACTGTTTTTGCTCACGATTGTCTTTCCAGGGACTTACAATGTGTCTGCACATAACAGGTGTTCAAAACACACAAACGTTAGATGTGTAATAAAGGTTGAGACCAAAAGCATCAACAATAATGCAAAAAAATAATATATAATGAATAGTACAAATTCATCAAATACCTGAATGTAGATACACAATAGAATAGCAGAATAAATAGAATGCATTCATATCTATTTAAAAGAGTAATACATCATGAACAAATCATACCTATTCTAGGAATAGAAAAATGGTTTAATGCTAGTATGTTTGAAAAAACAACTTATGGGATGCCTGGGTGGCTCAGTCACTTATGTGTCTGACTTTGGCTCAGGTCATGATCTCACAATTCAAGCCCTGCGTCGGGCCTGTGTTGACAGCGCAGAGCCTGGAGCCAGTTTCAGATTTTGTGTCTCTCTCTCTCTGCCTCTCTCCCCCACCTGCACTTTCCGTCAGTCTGTCTCTCTCTCAAAAATAAATAAACGTTAAAAAATTTTCTTTTGAATATAAAAAAAATTCATCACAAATATAGGGAAAATAAGAGGAATTATAACCATAATCACAATAGAAAATAGATTTGAGAAATGCAACAGTCATTATCATGGTTAGCCACCACGACATAGCCTCTCACTAAAGGAGGAAACTAAGAACAATTTCTTAACCTAATAGAGAACAGCTGTTTAAAATGGTAGCCAACAGTGTCCCTCCATTCAAACACTAAAACATTCGTGTTAAATTCATGAAACGGCCAAGGCAGTCCACATTCTCATGAACATTTAAAGAGATTGATGAGAGAAGGAAATTAGCCTGGATACCAAATGTCAGAAATAATGACAATACTTGTAGATATACTGTGGACACTAAAGGGAAACACAATACTGAACTATTAAGTAAGTCAAGCCTGCCTGCAAAAACAGAATATAACCAAAAAATCCAATCACTAGAGAACAAAATAGGCAATATTTTGTGCTTAATAGATCTTCAGTGAGCAGTTAAGAAAGAAATGATGGGACAGGAAATCAAACAGGACCCTACTATTTATGGGAAAGAATAGAGAAGGGGAGGAAACTCACTAGAAAATAACTCTTACCGGAAAGAGCTCTGGATTCTGAGAGAGGGAAGAAAACTTAGCAAGAGCTGGAAAAGACTGGTTTAAGTAGCAAGCAAAGCACCTTCAAACTACAGAGACTTGAGCTTTGTTGACTAATTAAATATGGGACTGCTCCAGTCTCATTATTCTGGAGGTAAACCCAGTACCCACTTTCTCATCCCTTTCCCTCATACTCCATCAGCACTTACTGGGAAGCAATGGTCCTACCCCTTTGTGATGGTTATCACTGAAGCTTTCTCTTCTCTGCAGTGTGTCCTAAGGTAGCTCATTTGGGTTTTCCCCTAGGCTGGTAGCAGAGAATTATAGGAAAGTGACAGCAGGGATAAGTTATTATCATCTCAAAAACTGAGTTCTTAGAGCTGCTCATTAAATAAATTGTTCTATTGACTTTCCTCTCTCCAAACAATTCAGTTCCCTCTGGATACAAAAATAAAAGAGAGGAAAATTTTCAGACAATGGTGAGTTTATGTTGGCAACAGTGGGCAAAGCAGAAGCTATTTTCTCCAAGGGGAAATTCTTCTGTGTTTGGTTTGACTGAAATGACAATATATCCCCTAAGGAACATTTAATTCTTGCAAGAACCAAAAACAGGAATGAACATTCTGTGATTCATTCCCTGAAGACTCTAAAGAGATTTCAAAGGTCACTTGTGGCCTACAGTGTCATGGGGGCAAAGAGGTTCTTTCTGAAGATAACCAGAGTGATTAATGGTTTTGACTCTGTTGAAAAGATTAAGGAAATGAAGAATGAAAATCTCCTTTCATGGAAGCCCGTTGTGGATATTAGGTAGGGCTCCATTTTTTACCTCTAAAGTGAGGGATGGGGCATAAACAATCATGTAGAGAGGCTTGAGAAGTGAGTATTGAGGAAACAGAACTGCCAGTATAAATCACTTATTAAGTTCGTCAGAGAAGGTGAGGTAGAGGTAAAATACTGCATAAAGAAATTATGGAGTGTGGTAAATTGACAAAATCTTTGTTTAATGGAAAATATGCAACAGTTGTAATTTGAAAGAGAACGATCATATTCAGTGCAGGTATTTGAATACACAATACGTTCTGGCTACACAATTCACAGGATGTAAGTACACTCTAAGTCAATGATAATCATAATATGCTCTATATCTCCAACACATGGGATATGTGGGTTCAGAAATCAGGCTTGTTAGAAGCATCCCTGTGT